TACACCTATAAAAAATCATTTAAAACCCTTAATAAGGTTTACAACTTCAGTTACTTAATTATCATTCAATTATTTTCAATTATTACAACATTATTATATTTATAATAATCTTCCTTTTAATAAAAATTATTCATTTAATTAATTCTTCAGATACCCAAAATCTTTACCATTTCAGCAATAAAAAAAAAAAAAGAAAAAAATTCCCACTTCCATAAAGTTAAGAAGTAAATTCTATCATTTCATCAAACTACACCTATGAGAAATCATTTTAATCCCTTAATAAGGTTTACAACTTCAATTACTTAGTTATCATTCAATTATTTAAACATTATTTAAACATTGACATGAATGAAGGAAATGTACATATCCCGGGATAATATTGCAGGATCTAGTCGGGGTCAGTCACCAGGACCAGAGGTTTAGTCCTCCAAGCTTTTGGGCTTGTGCTGGAGCCCATCCTCAGGGAACTTGAATTCCCTGAGGATGGGTTCCAGCACAAGTCTAAAAGCTCGGAAGAATAAACCTCTGGTCCAGGTAACTGACCCAGACTGGGTCCTGCAAGTTCCTGACATGTCTAGCTGACAACTTTGTCATACAAAAGGTAGACACGGGAGCAAGAGGGACAGCTATACTGGACTTAATCTTACTAATAGGGATGATATGGTTGAGGAAGAAGTTGTAAGAACTTTGGGGAAGAGTGACCATATCATACTTGAATTCACCATAATGCAATCACAGATAACTAGTCAGACTAGTATTTTAGGCTTTAAGAGAGCTGATTTTAACAAGTTAATAGAGAGATTAGGAAGGATTTCATGAATGGAAATCCTACAAGGAAAAACAATTCAAGATACTTGGGAAACACTGAAAAATGAGATAATGAAGGCCCAAGCAAAAACAATACCTCAGAGAAAGGAAAACAAAAGACATCACACAAGACCAGCATGGTTGCATAAAAAGCTCTCTGGCAAATTGAGCGATTAAAAAAGTCAAATGTAAAAAATGGAAAGGAGGGTACATAACTAAAAGAGAATACCAACAAGTAGTCCGAATCTGCAAGGAGGGAATCAGGAAGAGTAAGCACAGAATGAGCTAAAACTAGCAACTAAAGATAGTCCTTGAATTACAATAATTTGTTTAGTGACCATTCAAACATAGAGGCACTGAAAAAGTGACTTATGACTATTTTTCACACAACCGCTGCAACATCCCCACGTGATCAAAATTCAGATGCTTGGCAACTGGCTCATATTAATGATGGTTGCAGTGTCCTGGGGACATGCAACCTTCTGACAGGCAAAGTCAATGCGGAAGGCAGATTCACTTAATGACTGTGTTACTAACTTAACAACTGTAGTGATTCACTTAACAACTGTGGCAAGAAAGTTCATAAAATGAGACAAAACTCACTTAACATATGTTTCATTTAGCCATTTTGGGCTCAATTGTGGTTGTAAGAAGAGGACTACTTGTAATGCCAAGACTTTTTTCAGCCTAAGTGAAGGCTTTTAACTTTTCTCACTACTGAACTGCATTTTGTTGGATAGGGTCCAATGCTCAAGTCTGTCAACATCCTTCTGAATCTTGAATCTATCTTCCAAAGTGTTAGCATTTCCCCCCACCTTGGTGTCATCTGCAGATTTTATGAGTTCCCCTCCTATTCCTTCATTTAGAACTGTTATGAAAATGTTGAAGAGCACTGGGCGCAAGACAAAAGTTAAGTACCCCACTTCATGCTTCCCTCCCTGTGGATGTAATTTCACTGAAGACTACACAATGAGTGTGATTGGTCAACCAATTGTGAATCCATCTGGTGATGGTGCTATCATATATATACAGGGCTTTTTTTGTCATAGAACAACCAGAACGGAGTTCCGGCACCTTTTTTGGATGGAACCTTGTAGGGTAGGCAAGGTGGGTTGTATGACGTGTGTGAGTTCCGGCACCTTTTTTGGATGGAACCTTGTAGGGTAGGCAAGGCGGGTTGTATGACGTGTGTGAGTTCCGGCACTTTTTTTTTTTTTAACAAAAAAAGCACTGTATATATTTCAGACATATAGCATATATCAAATCATTTATATATCCAAATTTTCCTAAAATCAGACTTCTGCCACTATAACTATGGCAACCAGAGAGATTGCCATTTCAAGGAGAAACAATCTTGTCCTTTAAGGGTTCCCATATAAAGTGTATTCCAGTAATCCACTCAGGAGGTAACCAAATCTTGTGTGACTGTGTTCATTTAATAAAATCTCGGAAAGTGTGCGATTGGTTAGGTATTTATCTGTGCCATACCAACTTCCTTTGCTTGCTTGCTGGGTAAGGGATGCCTCCTGAAATGTAAGCCTGAGTAGAATGTTTCATTTTGTCCTGAAATGGGCTCCATTGGCTTCTCTGTAGCTTTCTGGAACGGCTTGATTGGGCCTCTCATCTAAATCAGGAATGGCCCGTGCTTAGCTCCCGAGCCCCGGTCAAGTCTGGTGCTCCCAACGGCCGCGCTTCGAATCTATGTATTGTCTCCATACCATCCCGAATGAAGAAGGAGGGATTGTTTTTTTGCCACTCTTCCTACCTCAGTGTTTCTCAACCTTGACAATTTTAAGGCATGTGGACTTCAACTCCCAGAATTCCACAGCCAGCATTGCTGGCTGTGGAATTCTGGGAGTTGAAGTCCACATGCCTTAAAATTGTCAAGGTTGAGAAACACTGTACCTACCTGAATGAAAGTAAAAATCATGGATCTCATTGGCTAAACAGAGGAGGCGGGATCGTTACAAGCTTGGAAAAGGGATCCAACGGAGGAAAACCGCTCTAGCTCCGGCTGGAGCCCTTGGTGATGTCTAGTTTGGACGTTTGCTTGCAGGCGCGTCGTTACCCGTCACCTTTGGTTTCGTTACCTAACCGGGTCACAAAACACGTACAGGGGGAAGGGGACGAAGGGGTAGAATTATATAACATTTGGTGTATTTATAAATATAATGTAAATGTTTGTCTTTTAAGAAGAGGAGACGATCGGCTAGTACCCCTAAACTGCATCCGAGGTGGTGGAAAAGAAGGTGATGGGATG